CCCTCCTGTTCCCTGCCGACTCACCTGCTGGTCCAAGAGCCCTTCCGTCCACCTGGCACTTCAGGGCCTGTCTTTAGCCAAGGCACAGATGCCCCTTGCTGAGGACCTGGGAGGAATCCTCTCCGTGGGGAGCCCCAATCAGATGTGTCTTGGCTGCAGGGCCCAGGCAGCTGGCCAGGAAGGGCCGGAAATGCTCCAAATACTCTCCTTCTTCCAATAGCTAAGGGGAGGGAGGGCCCCTCAGAGAGGCCATTTTATAGCAATAGCCAGACTAAATCCGTTGCTGTGAGGGTATGGGAGATGGTGGAGAAGAAAGTACTTCTGAGGGATGAACCAAGAAAGCATCTTTCTACATGAATGGGCTTGTTAAAATCCGGTAGCCTGAGCGCTTGCCTTGTACTGCGGATCCCAGGCGGATGTGTAAGGAGTTCCTTTGCTGGGACATGAAGCTGTTGTTGTCGGCAACAGTGATATCTGAACCTGACCTTCAGAAGAAGGTTAAAAATAGTGTTGTCCTGGCAAAGCCAGTGAGAGAGAGAGTGTGTGTGTGTGTGTGTGTGTGTGTGTGTGTGTGTGTGTACATGAACACACTTCTCACGCTTCTGAAGAGGCAGGGGCAAATAATGTTCCCATCTGGTGTTTCTGGGAGGCAGTGGTGGTAGACACAAGGGGAGAGGGCTTTGTTTATCTCAAGTAAAACAGCCTCTCACCTGCTCTCCTGTTATATGTAGAATACCAGCTCAGGAGTTGCGAGCTGGAAAACAACTTTTAGAGTGAATTTGGGAAGAGGTGTAGGGTTGTTTGACTTTTGGGTCATGAGCTTATGATCAGGTTCCTCTGTCACCTTTCATTATTTTTCTTGAGCTTCAGCCACATGCTGGGGGTGGAAGGGCTCCTGGAATGACGCCCACATTGCTGCCAGGTAGTGATCCTCTCCCCTTTGATAATTAAAATGAGCACAGCATTTAGCTTTAGTTTCTGTAGTACATTACTATGCAGACAGTAAGTATTGGTTTTTTATAATTTCAGTCAGGCATGAGGTCTTGCTGTTGTCCCAGTGAATGGATGAGGAAACTCAAAGACTCTGTGTGGCTGAGTCAGTTACTGGCAGAGCCTGGACCCCATCCTAGGGGATCCTCAGTGCGGGGGATACCTCTCAGGTCTCCCCCCTTTCTTCACACCATGCTTCAGTAGGAGGCGCTGCAGTAGTGAGCTGGAGGGGTGGCCTGGCTTCTCTGTTCTGTCACCTGCACACTTTGTTCTTAAAGTCAGAGTTCCCCCCATTAGCTCTGCTGGTCTGCTCCAACATCCAGCCCTAAACCAGATGTTTGGAGCAGGGAGAGCAGATACACATCAGCAGCTGGGCAGAAGAGGAGGTCTGGGTGTCCGCAAAGCAGGTAGCAGGGGGATGAAGGAAGGAGAGCAGCTCGTTATGGAGCTGCATGGCACCTGCTGCGATTCTGTCCTCCCTCAGGGAAGTCATGTGCAGCGAAGTCCTCACGGGCCTGTAGATCTTGTGCCCTCCTGGGGAAGGGGGCCAGTGCCCTTCCCCGTCATACGCGGAGGGGTGGGGGGTGGTCTGTGTCTGGCTGTCAGGGATACAATGCTGAGTGCTGGCTGAAAGGAGCCCTTTGAGAGGCTCTTTGACACAAATTTCACATCCTACTCTGGTGTGTTTTCTCCCTCACCCTTAAACCTGCTGAACAAAGCAGGTCTTGGACCAAAACTCCTGGCTCCAGCTCCTTTCCCTCCCAGTCCCCCATTGTCCTCTTGATCTCCCAGAGGTAACTGCCAGGGAGAGCAGGTGCAGGGCTGGGGTGTGGGTGAGGTGAGCCCTGGAATGGAATCCCAGAGCCTTGTACTGTTTGACCCCTTGCACCTTTCATGGCCTGCCTGCAAAGACAGCAAAGAAGAGGAGCTAGGTTGATCCCTTACTGGCCCAGCCTAGACAGGAATAGAGCAAACATTCTAAGAGACCTTGAGAGTGCCCCACCACCTCCCAGTTGTTGCAGGAGTAAGCACACAGGGTGCCCCTTAGCTCTTGGGGGCCCTAGGTTCAAGGAGACCTGGGTTCAAATCCTGGCTCTGCTGTCCTGCTACCTGTGTAACCTTGAGCAGGTTACTTAACCTCTCTGTGCTTCAGTTTTCCTTTTAGAAAACGGACAATGAGTGCCTACAGATGGGATTTTAGTGAGGACAAAATGAGGTAATGATGTCAAGTGTCTTAACGTAGGACTGGCAATCAAAGATGCTCAATAAATGTGACCAAGGCTCAAAAAGACTCAGTGGCTTGCCTCCGTTGTCAGCTCCTTCAGAGCCCACCTTCCTTTTCGCACACACTGGCACCTTTTCTGTGTTGAACCCTTCTGGGCTGTTGCAAACCAGCGAGGGCGTCCACACGGCCTGGCTCTCTAGAAGTGACATGTCCTGGAGGCCCCCGGAGTCATTCACTCAGCCAGTCCAAGTTATTGAGCCCCCGCTACACAGAGAGCTGGAGGCTGATGAATGTACCCTACTGAGGGCATTGCAGGCCCTGCCAGGAGACAGCCATGTTTGGGGGGAGGCTGAAGAGGCCCCAGTAGATTCTCAGTGGCACTGTTTCTAAAGGTAAGCGGTACACACAGCCTAGAGAAGGACCGAAGGAAGTGGGACCCCGGTAATGCCCTTGCTGTTATGGATCTGGGCTGCCCTCCACAGGCACCACAGCTCTTGCTCTGCTCAGAGCCCCTACCCCCAAGGTTAAGGCATTTGGGGTCTCTGAGGCCCAGGGCCTGCCTCATCACATTGTGTTTTTGAAGACTCTCATTCCCTGCAGAGCCCACACCGAGCAGAGTGGCCCCCAGCCCCACCCCACCGGGCTCCCTGTCGAAGGTTGAGGGCCTTCTGCCTATTGGGCCTCCCACAGTGGACGCCAGCAAGGCCTCTCTGTGGCTGCAGCCAGCTGCCCCTTTCACCTCCTTGCCTCTCAGGATTACTCAGCCTTCACAGCGTCTGTCACTAAGATGCCAAATGCGTTCTTGATGGCCTCTCTTCAGGAAAGCCCCGGGCTTGTGTGGCCTTTTAAGAAAGGCTCATTTGCCCAGTTAAGCCTCTGATTGTGGTTCTGCGTGAAGAAACCATAAACCAAAGAAAGACTGATAGTTCAGCTTTGGTTTTGGAGCTTTGTGTCAGCATCTGCTTGAATCCCTGGACTTGGAATTGCATGTGGGTCATACAAGCAGGTGGAGAAGCTGTCTTTTCCTCTTGGTTTCTGCATAGATTATTATGAATAGGAAAAATCAAAGGAACCTCATCCTTTAAGTGCTGGGCTCTGCTCTAAAGTTTGTCTCCTTGACACAGGGGCCTGGTGACAAGGGTACCAATGTACTTTTTTCCTGACAAAAATCCCAGTCCCTGGACATGTTGGTTCTTCCAGGGCTAAGAACTCAACAGTGATATCCAGATTTTTAGAGTAATTGCTGGGGAGGAGGCCTGATCATTTTCTAAAAGGTTTCGTAGGGGAGAGACTGAGAGCTTGGGGAGGCCCACTTGACGGACCAGGGGTGCCCTCCCTACACTTGCAGGGATCCGTCTGCCCTTCTGTTGGGTCAGAGCTGAGTCGGTGGTCATGGGGTTGCGCTCATTGCCGCTGGACTCACTCCTCAGCAGCCATTTCCTTGCTCTTGGTTCTGGGGGAGTAGAGTTTGGTTTCTTCCCCTCCTCTCCAGGGGCACAGGCAGCCCAATAGCTGGGTCTTAAATGGCTCTTCCATCACCGTATCTGCACGGGCAACTTTGGTGGTGCAGTGCATGCTGTGAGGGCTTGGCGCGGGGAGCTCCTGGGTGGCCCCCACCATATTGCCTTCCCCTTCACTTCTTACAGGGAGCAACACAGGGAAAGTGCCATTCTGTTTGCCCTTTTTTTTCTTCCACAAAGACGTTGGCATTTCTAGCATTTATTTTCCCGCACGGAGTGCTTTAAAGTGGAATGGGTTAGGTTTAATCCTCAGGTCCAGCTCCCACACAGGCCTGGAGAGGGAGACCTGTGGCTGAGGACCATTCTGGCCGTGGTTGTGTGGCGCCACCTCCTGGCCAGAGTGTCCATGTGTCTTCCAACTCTTGCTCAACAGTTGCCAGAACAGTTCATCAAACCAAAAGGAACTTGAAAAAGATGCTGTAGTCTGAAGTCATTTCTGGTTCATCCTTTAATGCCCATAGCTTTTTGTATCACCTTGGCCTTTCTGGGGCTGCCTTGCAAAGCCTTCTATTAAAGTAGCTTTGTATTTCTGAGGCCCAAATTTATCAAAGCAGGGCTAAGCAGCTGCAGTCTGGAATCAGAGACATCAGACTAGAACCCACCATTGGCTATGTGTGTCCCAAGGGGTTAATCTTGTGGTTTAAGATTAGGGGAGGGGAGTATTAAGGAAAGGGTCTGGAGTGTGGGAGGAGACAAGGGTATGAACAAAGTATTAGCTTTTTCCTTGGGGGCTCTTCTATCCTCTAGTCTGCTGGGTCTATTATGGGCTCAGTTCTCCTGCCACTGACCCCACATCTAGGGCCACTGACCTTGGCCAGAACTACATACAGCTCCACTGACTTGAAGGGAAGGTATCTAGGTTACTCTCTTGGCTAAAATGGGTCGTCTTGTGGGATCGGGTATTAGTCGGGGAGGATTTGTGAATTAACTTTGCATTTAGTGTGCCACTATCAGAACAGGATGACGCTGGTTTCTATGCCTAGTGCCATCTTTGAGCGCCCACTCTCCGTACAATGAGGAGCAAACTTTCTGCAGCTCATTTCTCAAACCAGAAAGTAGGGATTTCTGCTGGTTTTGTTCTAGAGAAAAGATGTTGGAATAAACGTGTACATTTTACTGTTGACTATGTTTGGTCTTGACCAAGCACATAACTGTATGTCCTGGTAGAGCTTACAGACTAGAGGGGACACAGCTCGTGTTGGGGGGAGGTACCTCTGGAAAGAGATGCTCTGTAATTAATGCTTTGTCATTTTTTTCTGCTCTAGGCCTGGTCTCCAAGACCTCTCCTAAAAAGCCTCGTGGACGTAACATCTTCAAGGCCTTTTTCTGCTGTTTTCGCACCCAGCATGTTGGCCAGTCAAGCTCCTCCACTGAGCTCTCCGCGTACAAGGAGGAAGCCAACACCATTGCTAAGGTAGCTGGATTGGGGTTGCGTGACACTGTGCAGGAGGGGCTGCTGGTGGAGTCCATGCACCCACAGCAGGTGGGCATGCCTTGCCTGATGTCACCAAGATCTCTGGCTCAGAAGACACATAGTGGGGTCACCTTCTTTCTCTTCCCATTTGTGGTGTGGGCCACTCAGATGTCCCTCTCATTTCTGAGGGTCCCTGCAGTCCAGATCCTTCTAGGTTCCAGAAACTGTGCAAGGTGCTTTGCATGTACTGTCTCCTGTGTTCCATGTAGCAACCCTGCAAGGAGACTCACAGATTCCCACCTCCAGACGTAGCTGAGACCCAGAGGGTTTATGTAGTCCCTAAACAGTGGTAGTGTCAGCGCTCCTACTCAGGTTGTTCTGGCTGTAAAGTCTGTGTCTCTTGTTTACTATGCAAAGCTACCTTGCCAGTTACTTGACTTTCAGGGAACCAAAGAAATGAAATTCTTCCACATTCTTGATAACTCCTTCCAGCACTCTCACCTGTACCCGTGAGAGACATTTGGGAACACGTGGTGTCTTTGATCCTCACAATGGCCAGTAAACATGTCTAGAATCTCAAGGGTAGTGACATCCCCGATCAAAAATCCTTCTGCCTCCCAATGCCATTGGTACTTCTTTATGAAACAGCAAGGTCTAGCTGTCCTTCCTCTCTCAAAACCAGGCTGATATGTCTGTCCATGAAAAGTCATTTTGTTATCCAGTAGTACAATATGATATTATTAAGCAGTCGATTTTTATAAAGAGTTCATAATAACATTAAAAAGTATTGAGTTGCAACAGTAAGTGAAAAAGCATAACGCAGCATTATATATTATGGGGGGGGAAACACTACTAAAACAAACTTGAAGGAAATACACTGAAATGCCAAATAAAGTTTTTCCAAGTGCTAAGATTTCAATTTTTCTTCGAGGTTTCCACACACTACTTTTTACAACCATAACATTTTTATTCTTAGCAAAAGGTGGGGAAGCTATTCTGATCCCTCACACTCCTCCACACTCACTCTGGGACCCGTAGTGTGGGTCCGTGTTGACTTGCTTCTGTGTTGTAGAGGCTCAATGGCCCCCTGCCTATGAGCGTCCGCCCATCTGCGCGCCCCCGCCCACCCCCCTCCCACCCCCCAGCCAAGGAGGGGATAGAAAATACATGTTCTGAAGGAGAAGTCTAAGTTCCAGGACTAAACAAGAGGCTAAACTACCACAGTGAGGAATTCTCATTTTGGTTCTGCCTCTGACTCTGTGTCCCTGCATCACTCTTTTGAGTCCCCTGTTCCTCACTTTGTCCAGCTAAGAGCGGGGACACTGTCCTCCACCTTTCATCAGGCCTAATGTGGAAAGGAAGTTATGGCTTTTTCCGCCCAGCTCTTAAGAAAAGTCCATTTGGTCATGTCACTACCTTCCAGGGGGGCTGGGATCTTCGAGAGAAAATTATCCTCCTGGCCTGAGGCAGAAGCAGTGGGCTTTAGAGGGGTTGGCGAAAGTGTTGATAGGTTGGCACTGACCACCCCCTTTCCTCCCGCAGTCTGATCTGCTCCAGTGTCTCCAGTACCAGTTTTATCAGGTATGTGAATCTGACTAGGTATGTACTCAGAAGCCCAAGACCCCATGATTCCTGCTTACCCCGTGTGGTGGTGCCCTCATTCCTCCATGTCTGGCTGGCCACCTCCCAGTCTGGGGAAGCCATTTGTTCCAAACGTTTGCCGAGGGCCCATTATGTGCAGGGCAGTAAAGTGGCGACAGCTGGTGTCCATCCCACACCGGCCCTGGCCTCCCTCTCCAGCGTCCAGGTCACTTTATGGTCCAGTGGGAGGCCAAAGCCAAGGAGACAGCTTTGTCTCTTCTTTTTCTACCTCTTGGCCTTCGAGGGGCATCCCTCCTAGGTTGAAGTTGGGGGTCTTTTTTCTTCTCCATGAGCTCAGCTCTTTCCAGAGTTCTGCTGAGGGGAACAACTGGGCTCTTTTGGTGGCAGATCTCAGCCTCCTGGCTCTGGTTTTAGATCCCGGGGACCTGCCTGCTCCCAGAGGTGACAGAGGAAGATCAAGGAAGGATCTGTGTGGTCATTGACCTGGATGAAACCCTTGTGCATAGCTCTTTTAAGGTAACTTGATATCTGGAGCCCTTCTTCACCCATCTTGGGCTCTCGTGAACCTGACTAAGGTGGCCTGAAGTTGATAGAAGGGTGATCAGGATGGGGCAGACTGGGCCTCTAGAATTTTTGCCACGCTGGCTTCACATATACGGAGACTACACCAAAGAATGTTGAGGAGGAACCCCTGCTCCCCCAGCCACTGCCAGCAGGCCGCCACTGCCCCACCCATCCCGGAGCAGAGCACCGCCAGGGCTGTGTACAGAGCAGGCCCCAAAGGGTTTGGATCAGCCATGGACTTTGCCCCTCTCTGTTGTATCAAAAACTTTGTTAATTCAGGAAGGCCCTGAAACTCACTCTGTTGTAGTAGAATTTTGGGGGTGGTTGGAAGTAGGAAAAACCAGAGGAGGTATTACATCCTGTGCTGGGGTAAGAACCACTTAGAGAGCTTGCAGGAGGAGCTTCCTGGAGTCTCTAAGGTTTGTTCCACCCTCCCCCTCCCAGGCGGCAGTGCAGTGGCTGTTGTCTCCTTCTCACCACACTGACCTCATTAATTTTTCTCTTTCTAGCCAATCAACAACGCTGACTTCATAGTGCCTGTAGAGATTGAGGGGACCACTCACCAGGTGAGCTGCCTGCCCAGCCACACCCAGCCCAAGGGCTCAGGGTCCTCCGTTCTCGGGGCTTATGTTCCATCAGTTGACCCCTTTCTGTAACTCCAGCCTTTACCTTTTTACTGGTACCTTTAACACCCTTTCTCATCTTAAAAAAAAATCAGCCCCTTATCCCCTGCTGTCACCTTTCTTCTCTTTGCAGCCAAGTTGTTTGAAATTAAATGTTATATAATCATAGTTGAGAGCCATCATTTATTGATATCCACCCCTCTCCCCCAGTGTGACCAGCACTGCTGTGTGATTGATTACATTTTCTGTAATCCTGAACAGTTGGTTCTCTGCCTGTTCTGGGCAAGGAAGGCAGTACTAACTGTTTTCTCTCCTCCTTGTGTCCAGCCTCTCCATCTAGCAGGGACTTTCTTCCTCCCCAGCCAGGCATCTCCTCTGTGGAGCTTTCTCCAGCTCCACCTTCCCCCCCTTCCCTTGGGGCCCTACACTGGATTCTTTCTCCATTAAGTGCTCAATATACCTCTGTCAAAGTAAACAGCACTTGAATCTAAATAAGATCAGGTTCTGGCCTTGCATAACTTGTTCAGTTCAGGGTTAAGGGATCAGGTGGAATCGACAGTGGAAAACCACTTACTGAGAACACTTGCCTAGAAGGTCCGACAGCTGGACTGAGAGGCAGGGACCATCAGGAACAGTGCCCTGGTAGCCCTGAGACTTGCTTGCATGGCTTGGTCACATATCAGTTACTTGTAGAGGAATGGGGTTGGAGGCTTCCATGGGTTGTCGTCACTCTCCTGCGTCCATCAGAGGCTGCCTTCACCAGTACCTCCCTCCCAGCAGAGGTAATCTGCTAAGGCCAGAGCCAGCCCCTGCTCAGAGCCAGGCTTAGCCCTTGGGCTACCAGCCTCTGTCCGGCAGCCCTGTACAGTTTGGTTGAGGGTGTAGAGATATGCAAAACCCCCAGGGAAAAGATGAAGGCATGATTTCAAACAGACAACTATATACTGAACTGCTCATTAAGAAGGAGAGGCATGAATAATGATGAACGAGGGTGGCCACCTGCAGAAGGCAGGTTCTCAGCAGAGTGGTAAGGGGATGCTGAGCTTAATGCAGAGCTGAGAAGAGGGAGGAACTTGTTGAAAGTTGAAGAAATGTTAAACGATAGGGAGCCAGCTTGTGGCTACCAGGAGCAGAGGATTCCTGCTGCAGAGCTGAGCAGGACAGCCATGGCAGGTCCGTGCTCTTGAGCAGGGAATCAGAGAGGTCAAAGGAGCTTTGAAGGAATGGTTCTAGGGGCACTGTGAAGGCTGGGTGAGGGGCAAATAGCCCGGAGGCAGGGAAGCAGTAGCATGCAGATTGATGAGGGACGGGTAGCCAATGGATCTTCTAGGCCAAAATGTGCAAGGTCATGAAAGGTGGACATGAGTGTTAGGGTGGTCTGGCAGGAGCAAGCACAAAATGAGTGGGGACATTAGAGCAGGACACTGCAGAGTGGTCTATGGTCATTGAGGGGAAAAGTCACTTCTCCCTGGTGCATTTCAGAGAAGCTGTGTGAGGGCATGAGGTTTCAGGAAGTATCTGCGACCTCGCCCGATGGTGACCTGGACAGACTGTCCTGCCAGAGCCAAGGACAGGAAACTCCCACAGAGGCTGTGGCTGGATTCAAGTAATCCAGGATAGGCTGTTTCCATCTGTGAGGCCTATTCTTGATTACTTGTTTCTGGAGGCAGCTGATGGTTCGCCGCCGGAAACAGAGCTGGCTCCGGGACATAGGTGCATGCACTTCTTCCTAAGGCTGGGACCACCGAGCCAGCGGAAGCCTGGTGAGGGAGTGATGCTAGGGCGCTAGTCTGTGGGGCAGAAGGCTTCCAGCCAGGCAGTCCCTGAGGCTACGGTGTAGGAGCCTGAATAGAGTAAGAACTGAAACTACTTGATGCTTTTTGTGTAAGGGGCGACGGTGACCGATGCTGTGAAGCTGCACCCTCACTGGGGCACCTCCAACAAGCCTCTCTGCTTTTCCTCAGGTGTATGTGCTTAAGAGGCCTTATGTGGATGAGTTCCTGAGACGGATGGGGGAACTCTTTGAATGTGTTCTCTTCACTGCCAGCCTGGCCAAGGTACCTGGGGCAGGAGGGGAGAAAAGAACTGGGAGCAGGTATGGCCACTAAGGTGTGGTCCGGCAGCCCCTTGCTGATCCCCACATTGCCACTGGGGAACCAGGACTACATCCAAACAAAAGTGTCTTCTCTTCTGCCAGTATGCCGACCCTGTGACAGATCTGCTGGATAGGTGTGGGGTGTTCCGGGCCCGCCTGTTTCGCGAATCCTGCGTATTCCACCAGGGCTGCTATGTCAAGGACCTGAGCCGCCTGGGAAGGGACCTGAGAAAAACCCTCATCCTGGACAACTCGCCTGCTTCTTACATCTTCCATCCGGAGAATGCAGTGAGTGGTCCAGACACGCCCACTCTGCAGGGATTGGGAGAGTCCCAGTCCTGTGTGGGAGAAGCAGTGGGCAGGGGACCTTCGGACTTTATTACCAGAAAAGCACACCACCCTAGGTGGACCCTGCCAGTCTCCAGGGGCTGTGGGGCAAGGGAGGGAAAAATGGCATTTGGGAGATTTATGCCACCTTTTTCCTGCCTCAGGTGCCTGTGCAGTCTTGGTTTGATGACATGGCAGACACCGAATTGCTGAACCTGATCCCAATCTTTGAGGAGCTGAGCGGAGCAGAGGATGTCTACACCAGCCTTGGACAGCTGCGGGCCCCTTAGCCCTACCAGCTTCCAAGCAACGGTCATCCCAGTAGGGGACTTTCCTACACTGTGCCTTTATGATCAGCCGGACCGACGGAGTAGAAGCTGGGGCATCTCACCAACGGGGGCCTGGAAATAAAAGTGATGGAAAAGAACTTTAGGGCAGGTTAGATGCCAAGTGGGCAAATGTCAGACCAGTGATACCCCAAGCTGCCTGCTCCCTGAGTTGGGTTTCCAAGATCAGAGAGAGAGAGATGCCTTGAACTTTCTTCAAGGATGTAAGTGTTTCAGTTTGGGGGAAAGCCGAAATACCAAGACTCTCCCCAAGTTACTTTATCTCCTCTCCAGTCACCTGAGAGCCACTGCACTCTAGGGATGAAGACTATTCCAGGCTCCATTGCCAAACCCATGGCCTCTCTCAGTGTTGTCAGGCTTGTGCCAAGGAGAAAGGAAGGGTCAGAGGCTGCTTTTGGGTGCCCCTGGGCATGTCCCTTTTTGAAATTCCTCCAGCCAGCTGCTGCAGATAGAGGACAGTTCTGGAAGATGAAAGCTTGTTTCCAGAACCAGTAGCCCCAGCGGCCATTGAGTCCTGCAGCCTGCCCCCAGCTGAGTGCCTGGCCTGGGCCTGCCTTTGTCTCTCCAGGGCTTGGGTGCTGGGCCTACCTTCCTCACTCCCTAGCCATAATTCTCAAACCTATGGAGGAGGAGGTCTCCCTGTCATGGAAGAGGGCAGATAACTGATTTCCGTTCTTTTTGACTCTGTTTTAAAATTCTCTTCCTAACCATGGAGTGTTGGGCCTGTTTTGTTTCTGACGAAGCTACAGTCCTGGGCTTAGGGTGAATGTGTGTGGTGCTGGGGATGAAGGGAAAAGGAAAATCCCCAAAGCCATGAAATGTGTGTCCCCTTAGCTTGTATGTAGATCAGCAGAGCTTGGGACTGTCTGTGAGTCTGCTTTTCAGGGATTCTCTGCTGATGCTGGTGCAAGGACTTTGTTCCAAAGTCCGGGAAGGGCACTCCCTTTCTGCCCTTCCTATTTCTTGGGCAGAGCTCTTTCCTATGGTGTCTTCCCCTGGGGCCTGGCCTGTGCACAGCTCTCTGCTCCACCTTCATCCTTTCTGGCTGTCGCTCTTTTCTCTCCAGGGCCTCAGAGGCACTCCCCCCTTTTCCTGGGCTGAGGGGGAGTGGGTGTTCTTAGCATCACTTGGCCATCCTACGCACATGCCTCCTGCCTCTGGTAACAGGTATGATGAGCCCTTTACACATCTGCCCTTTGCGTGTCTCTTGCTTTCAAAGTTTCTTAATAGTGAATGCTTTAAAAAGGAGTCACCAAATGGAAGTTTCCCCAGGACAGAAAACAAAAGGGGAAGTGCTGCTGAAATTGGGAGCACAAGAGGCCCCCAACAAGTGGCCCCACTTCAGCGTCACTGCCTTAATCGTGGCCTCTCCCAGGGCTGGGTGGGGTTCTCTCCTCTCTTCACTTCCTCTGAGGCAGGAGGGAGTTCCTAGCCCCATCTCTGTTTTCCCCAGAGGCAGGTGTTACAAAGCATTTGTACATTGCTTCAGGTGTGAGGACACCTCCCACTCGGGACTCATCCCCATTAACCTTTTCAGTTTCCACACACTGGGTCCAACCCGATGAACTAACCTGTCTGGAGAAAGCCAGGTTGGGGAGCAGCAGCTTGGTGTTCTGAGTGGTAGCTGGCTGACTAGTCTTTCTCTAACATTATGGTGCCACCTCCCTGCTTGTCCAAGTTTCTAAGACCTTCTATTTCCCTTTGGTGTTACAGAAGTGGAACGGGGTTCCCAAAGGCCGTGTGGTCATTTCCCCCAGCCTCATTCCCTGGCTCCCGCAGGTGGAGGGGACAGCTCTGGTGCTAGCCAGGAACAACTCCCTGCAGGGAGTGGGGGCTTCTCATTCTAAGGCCCACCCTGAAGGTTAGTTTAGCCCTTGGGTCAAATCCACCATCTGGACCCAGACAAGCTTTTCTGACTAAGCAATAAGAGGCTCTAAGCTGGTCAAGTTCCAAGGACCCTTTCTGCTCTCCTCTGGGTCTCCATGTTCCTCCAGGTGAAGGAAGAACCTGTGCCAGCCCCTTTCCTGTCAGACTTGTCCAAGTGGAACTTGTGACCACAGCCCAGGATGGCCTGGGTGGAGTGTCCTTGCATCTTAGGCGTGAAGCCCCTCCTATGCAGGCCTCACTCCCCTCAGAGCTCTGCCTGCCCACCTGTGGTTCCTCAACAGATACGCTGTTTCTACTTCCCCAGAGAAGCAACAAGGCCAAATAAATCTACAGGGTCGGTCCATGTGGACCAGAGCCACCCTCCTTTGTTCTCTGATTGCCAGTTTCACCGTATGTTAGGGGCAAGTGAAGCTTGCTCTTGAGAGGAAGTCAGGCCAGGCTCAGTTGTGGAGGAAGGAAAGAATGGGAGGGAGCCAGTTCACCTCAGGATCTGTTCTAGGGTTCTTCGCCAGCCCTTCCTATTTGAGGCTGGTCTTTGGGGGGCAATTGGCCACCATGCCTGGTCAGCACCAATTCAAGCCATGCCAGGAATCTGCCCACCTGTCAGGTTCAGTTCTCTAATGTGCCTCTTCAGGGACACGGTGTGTCTCTCTGATTGGGCTTCTAAATCAAAAGCCTGATGTTCGTGTCCCTCTCATAGGGGGAGCTTTGGACACAGGACCAGTTTGGAAAGGGTCAGCTAAGAGTTTTCACTCTGCACATTGTAGAGGGGACACTCTGTAGGCCCATGGGTCCCTAACTATATAGAGAGAGGTTGAATAAATTTGCCTTCAGTTAATCTGGGACCTTTTGTTTAGTTCCCTCCTGCCTCCCAAAGATTTTGACCATTTTGTAAATGTATAAACTGACCTCTTAACAGTGGCCCAAAAGCTTCTTTTCGCTAAAAAGCATGGGAAATCTTAACGGCATCCAGGCCCTGGGAAATGGATGCCACTCCCCTATCCCTGCCCTCTTCCTGAGGCCTCCTTCCGTAGGGCAGCCCCCTCTAAGGTTGTCATGCGCCCCCTGCCCCAGCCAGACAAAAGTGTCTGAAGAGGGTGAGCCTATTTTCCCCTTGACGTCTTCAGTTGGTTACTTTACCACTGTTATATGTCAATCACTTTGTAAAATGGGGTTTTAGTTCCCTCTTTTTTAACAGCAAATATTTTTATTCAAGCAGGGGAGGGGAGGCAGAGATCTGGCCTGCTACCCCATTCCTCTAAGGCAGGGCCTGCACCTGGAGCAGACCCTCTCTCGACCCCATGAGCTGCTTCGCTTTAAGTATCCTGAGTTTGACACCTTCCACGTCCGTGTCTCTGCCCCCTTCAGGAAGCCATTTGGAGGGTGGGGGTCTGCTTCCCACTGTGACTGGGCTATGGGACTCTGACTACCTTGCTTACGGATTCATGGTTTGATAAATTTGTTGTATTCAAAAACTTGAAATGTGGGACGCCATTAAGTGTCTGTTTATATTTTTGGAGTATTTGTATTACTTACAATTAATAAAAGCGGGTTTAAAAAACCCATCCAGGAATGGGTGCTGCCTCTTGACCCTGCTGTTCATTTGGGCACTTACTGGGCACATCCTTCACCCCTCACGGCCCCTCCAGGCACAACAGAGCTGGAGTCCCACGGCTGGGAGACCAGCTGCGGACTCAGCATTAGGCTTGTGCTCAAGGTTAAAGAAGTCGGGCTGCATTAGCTCTTCCCTGGCCCCCAGTGGAACAGACTCTGTTGCCATCCAGGTGCTTAATAAGCATCTGCTTTGTGTCCTATTGACTTCTGAGGATGACCCAGCAGCCCCGGAGGACTTGGAGTCTTCATTCTTCTGTGCCCCTTACTGATGTTCCCAAACCAGGGTCCCTGAAACACAGAACTCAGGATGGTTCTTGGCACATAGTAGGCACTCAAATATTGATTGGACTAATGTATGACCCCAAGGAGCAAAACAGGATGAGGTAATAACACTCCTGACCCCTCTCCTAAACATCCCCTTCCTCTGAGACGTGCCCAGAAGCTTCTGGAGGCGCTTGCCAGCCTGGGCATCCCAGGCACTGAGCGGGCAGCCCTAGCCCCTGCCTTCTGTTAGCATAATGCGTCCATATCTACAATATGGCAAATTTCATATCCTCCCACCCTCTTTCCTGCATTATTGATGGGCTATGCACTCCTTAAAAATCAATTAGATCAGGGCGTGGAGCTGGAGTTGGAAAAAAAAAAAAAAACCCTTTGAAAGTCTGCCCTTGTTTTGTTGTTTTGAATAGGAACAGAAAAAGCTTTCCCTCTGGTTTGAATAAGTCAAGCCCAGGGCTAGGTTGGCCATGATTGGCCAGGACTAGGAAAATGTGGTTAAGATGCAAACCCAAGCAAATATAACCCAGTGTCTGTGCAGCCATTATTACTAAGCTCTGGAGCAGACCTGGAGTCTCTTGCTTTGGAGCGGTTCTTCAACACAGCTGCTGCTTCCTTGCCAGCCAACTGGGAAGACGGTGGGAGAGAAGGCAAGGTAAGGTCTGTCTGGTTTATGGTGCATGTCAGTAGAGCTCTCCCAGTGAACAAGGAAGGAGGGAAAGGAAGAGGAGATGGAGATTTCGCTGGCTTTGTCTTCTTGGATGAGGCTTTTGAGGAGTTGGACCAGGAGTTTGTACCCAGCTTTGCAAATTTCCTTTTGAGAAGCCAAGGCCCTTTTAGAGACCGCTGAACAGATAGGGCACATTTTCAAAAACTGGGGAGGAAGAAGAGCCCCTCAGAAAGACGGTATGGAGCAAGGCAGAAGTTAAAACCAGCTTGTTTGAGATCCCTATGTACTGATGTCTCTGTGAGACTTAAGTAAGGGCCATTGGCTTTCAACCAGGATTTCAAAACTGCACCCTACCCCAGGGGTCTCTACAGTGATCCTAAAGCGTGCTGAGTTAATAAGAACTTGGGGTGGAGGGAGGGAATAACCAAGTTTTAGGGAATTCTGTTGTCACCAATGGAGTCAGGTTTTCTGGGTGTTCCAGTATAGCAGGAAATCACTTTGAGCACGTCCTCTCCTGCATTAGGGGGGCCCAGGACCAGTAAGACCCTTCCCAGTTGCTAAGTCCCTGCTAGCAAGTAGGACTGCTTTTGGCCTCTAAGACTCACAGCCCTAATTAATGACAGTTGGTTTGGCTTTTACCAGGTTGACACTTCTCTACCTTCAAGTAACAAATTCATTGGCCCTTGTCCCCTTTGCCTAGTTTGGTAACAGCATTTGCCTTTAACGGCTGAAATCTAGGGTCTAAAGAAAACCTGAACAAATATTTACCGGCAGTTCTGAGCACAGGGTGGGGCAAGTTATCAAATTAAATCCTCAAACAGTGGCTGCTCCCCATCACTGTTCTGCTTTAGTCCTTTCATAGCAACAGACAAAGAGAGTTCGCTTTTGCATTTTTGCCAAAGTCCATGCTAAATAACAGCGCATATTCTCCAAACCTGGCTTCATCCACTGCGGCTCAAGGAAAGAATGGGCAGACATGCGCCTCTTTAAGCACAAAGTGCCTCCAGGGAGCAAAGCTCTACCCAGTCCTTTCTGGATGGGTTTTCATCTTAAGAGATCCATGGAACCTGTCCTTTGCCTCTTTGGAGCATCCATGGGTCATGTGTATCACCAGATGGTAAGCTCCTTGAGAGCAAGAACCAGGTATGCATTTTAATTATATAAAGCCCCTATGCGAACCTGGATACTCCTTCAGCAGAGATGGTGCGTAATCCACAGACTTCTTTTTACCACTTCCTCCCGCAACCCAAGACCAGACACCTCACCGCTGACTCCTTAGGGTCTGCGTGGGAGGGGAGAGGACAGCATCAGCCCTCACTGGCAGGCCAGGCCATGCCTACCTCCCCCGGTTGGCACCTGCGCTCTTTGTTCCAGGCCCAGCCCTGCCATTTTACTTTCCCTTTTTTTCTGTGAGATACAGGGAATATATTAGTCATAAGACAAAAGCCGATTGGGTTGTCTGACTTTTAGGATAGTTTACTTAAAAAAGTCTGGAAAGTAAAAGCCCAAAGAGAAGATCAAAGATTTGACTGTGGGAAAAGTTGGAGGGGACGAGAATGAAAGAAGACAACCCGACTTAGAAATTTTTTCTGACATGAGCTTTTCTCCCCATGTACCACTGAATTTAGATAAGTTTAGGAAGGGCTGTAGTATGTCAAAATGACTAAAAGCACAGGTTTTAGGATCAGAGATGGATTTCATTCTAGTGTGTGATGGTGGGCAAAATTAACCTCTCAGAACCTGTTTTCCTACAATGTAAGATAATGAAAATATTCTCAGCTTATGAGAACTAAATGAGATAACATAAAGTGAATCAACACAGGGTTTAACATATTTATCACCCCTTTAGTAAATAATCGGCTGTTACCAGAGCTCTTAACATGGAAAGTGGCACATGGGAAGCAGAACTTCCAGGTGGGGATCCTTGAGCCAGCCAGGCTAACCGTGTGACCTTGGACAAGTCACTTCCCCCATCCCTGTAAAATAGCACAGGGATGCACAACAGAACATGGCAGCATGGCTGACAAGAGATTCGTGAGTGACTTAGGAAGAAAGCTGGATGGATGTCTGCTGGGAGAGGCCCCACCTCCCTGATTGCTCTGTGATGTTTCAGCCCCAGGAAGACAAGAGCCATGCCTCTGGGCAGTGCCTTCAGGGCTGTGGGCAATGACCCTGGGATCATCACCTGGAGAATCGAGGTGAGCTGTGCTGGGGGCACACCTTCCTCCTCGTCCTGAATCTGGGGGCAGACTCTAGTCACCCAGATACGCTCCATGACAGCCCTCCAGCCCTCCTTAGTCTCCAGCATGTGGTTGGAGAACAGTGCCATCAAAGTGCTCATTTCCCTACCGTTGACCTTTCCTGGGTGCTCAAAGCGGGTGGGTGGCAGGTGGAGGAAATGTTCTTAGCCTTGGCGATCAGGGCTCTGAGAAAAATAAGCTTGCCCTTTATTCAGCCATCTGCTCAGTGAGTCTGCACTTCCAGTAAATGCCCTGGTGAGATGGGTGTGGCCAAGGCCCACCCAAGAGACTGATATTCCTGGCTGCTTCTGACAGAAAAATAGAACCAGTCTTCTTCAGAGGGTTCTGGCTCCTGCAAAGTAGTAGAGTAGGTTTGGGGGCACTTGCACAGACCGGGGCACAGCTCATCACTTCTACCTGGCCTTGAGCTCCTATGGCTTATCTTGAGCTCCAGCAATCTGTAACCGGGAACCACCCTGGCCTGGGCAGCCCCCCCTGCCAGATGCGAGGACCCCCACCCACACCACTCCCCCTGCTCTGAGCTGAGCTGAGTGGCTGCTGCATGAAACCCAGAGGTGATGCCTCACTCCACTACCCTCCATTTGGGAGGGGGAGTCACAGCCTTTAGCAAGCAGCTCAGAGCTTGTGAGAGACCTAGGACACTTCTATTGTTTTCAAAACTAATAGATTCTTTAAAAAAATATTGTACATAAGTTACGGGATATTTAACATTTTTTAAAATTTATTTATTTTCAAAGAGAGGGGAAGGGAGGGAAAGAGGGTGAGAAACATTGATGTGTGTTGCCTCTCACCTGTCCCCCAGCTGGGGACCTGGCCGCACCCAGGCATGTGTCCTGACCAGGAATCTAACCGATGACCTTTTGGTTTCACAGTCTGGCATTCAAGGCAACATTTTTACATTCACACACATTTTACATAGAAATCACACAAGTATGACTGTGGGTTTACCTCACTTGGAAGTAGTGATGAAAATCTGCATCTTGTGTCTTCTGACACAAGACAGACATGCAGGTGACAAATCAGAGCCCCAAACCAGTCTCCAAAGATGGGGATACTGGGCTTGGAGCCCTGCACACTGCTGGCACTCACGCCCCAAAGCTGCACAGAATCTCAGTGTTCTGTTCTTTCGGACCCGGGCCAGCACTGGTGGTCAGAGTTGGAGAACGGTGTCAGCGGCCATGAGGCAGCCGCTCAGAGGAGGGGTTTTACTTGATAGCTTATAGCCAACTCTTTTCCCTGCAATGGGCTGGAGGTGGCTCCCACGGCTCCTCACCGTGCAGCAAGACAGGACAAGTCAGGCAGCTGGGAGGATGACAGGGGTGAGGACAGGCACCCAGATTCGGACCAGGCCATTGGGCTGAGCTCAGAAGGTGGCCACGCGAATCCTGTAACTCGCTGCCACACCCTGTGAGATCGGTAGGACACATCTCCCCTACCTCTCCCCTGCTGCCTGTGCCAAAGGATGGAGAGAAAAGGAAGGGTTGGAGGAGGGAGAGGAAGGAGGCAATGGAGCCTGTGCACATTCCTTGTCCTTCTAGAAAATGGAGCTGGCGCTGGTGCCCCTGAGTGCCCATGGCAACTTCTATGAGGGGGACTGCTACGTCATCCTCTCGGTGAGCACTGCCCACCCCCCACCGCCCTTCCCCCTCATTCCCACAATCTCCTCCCCTGAGAGCCAGGTTACACTGAAAAATCTGCCATTGATGCTAATCAGGCCCCTGGTATCCACCCTGACTCTTCCTCAGTGTTGTACAAGACGGACCTCCAGTTTGACCATTTTTTAAAAATTTTTATTGAGAGAGACGGGAAGAGAGAGAAAAAGAGAGGAAGAGAAACATTGATGTGTGAGAGAAACATCGATCCGTTGCCTCACATACGCCCCAACTGGGGAACTGGCCTGCAACCCAGGAATTGAACCTGAGACCTTTTGCTTTGAAAGACCACGCTTAACCAACTGAGCCACACTGGTCGGGGCCAGTTTGACCATTTTTAAAGGCCATTCTTAGGTGGGAGTGAGCCCCTCACTCTGAACCTGGATATGTAGTTCACAAACAGCACAACTCCCTGGGGAGGGGGGCAGACCCCAGAATAAAGTGGGGTGGAGGAAGGTCAGACAAATACAAGCCATTTCTGGCCTCAGAGTGATCATTCTAGTTGAGGAAACGACACTCCACATGAACAGTGCTGACAGACATGCAGATGGACAGGTCAGCGCTGTGCTGGCTGGGTAAGTGCAGGGGGCAGAGGAGCGGCAAGGTGAGTCTGCAGTCCAAGTTGGAAAGAGTCTCTATTGCTCTCCGTTTATTTTGAGAACAATAAGCCTTTAACTTTTCCCAAATGTGGGGAGGTTATTGGGGCTGCCAGAGCCACATAGCAGGTCTGCACAGGGGCCACTACAGGGAGGGAGAAGGGTCCAGAGCCCGCCAAGGATGGGGCACAAGCCACTGTATGCTGCGTTCTTCCCATGCCAGAGAGGCCAGCATCGAAGGGGAAGCTGCTCCCTGACCTGGTCTCTCTGGCTGCATCCCAGACCCGGAGAGTGGGCGGGGTCATCTCCCAGGACATCCACTTCTGGATCGGGAAGGACTCCTCTCAGGATGAGCAGAGCTGCGCAGCCATCTACACCACGCAGCTGGATGACTACCTGGGGGGCAGCCCCGTGCAGCACCGAGAGGTCCAGTACCATGAGTCCGACACCTTCCGCGGCTACTTCAAGCAGGGCATCATGTGAGTAGTTATATACAGAGCAAGGACAAAAGTGTCAGTTTACCAAAAAGGAAACCCAAAGGACCAATAAGTATATGATGAAAGTAATCGAAGAAATGTAAATGAAAACAAAGCTATCATTTCCACCTACTAGAGGAGCACTAATTTGAAAGCTGGGTGGTGCCAAGTGTTGGCGAGACTGTGGGCAAATGGGAGCCCTCCTGCCTTGCTGGTGGCAGGGAGGGCTGGCACATCATCCCAGAGTCATCTGCCCCTGAGGCAAATCCCACTTCTGGGTGTATAACACAAAGGAATTTCCCAGACCAAGCTCCACAAGGGCACACGAACCAGAATGTTCCCAGCAGTATCATTAGAGGTGGTGGAAACTGCAGGCAATGTAGAAGCCCATCGCTGGGTGACTGGGCAGGAAGAATATGCCTTGATACCAAGGAGTACTCTGCAGGGGCTGGAAGCAACCAGAGTAGAGACATACCTAACACGCAGACAGAACTTAAAATCATGAGCCTTAGCAAACGTAGTAAGAAACAGCCTTGAGGTGTGCAACAGAATGCAAATTTTTGTTTTAAAAAAAATACAGGCACACAAAATCATAGGTCGCATTTCACCAGAATGGAAGTAGATGTTAAACTGTTAGAATTGTTGCCTGTGTTAGAATAGGACTGGGAATAAGGTATGCAAATAAAAGAGAATACACAAATACTTAAAACAAGAGAGGGGTCTGGTAAAGGCCAATAATGATACTGTTCCATGAACTAATGAGTCTGATTACTCAAAACTTTGCACTCGAGATTGCAAAAAAAGTAATTCCATCGAGCTCAAGAATTCTGAAGCTGGTTCAAGCCAGCTTTTTGCAGATTTGCAGTTCCCACTGACTGAGGACCTGCTGGGCACCGGGCATCACATTGAGTCGCCAGGGAACCCAAAGGCAGCCCCACCCTCCACTCCAGGGTGGCTTTCTGCATGCCCTTCATGTGTGGGACATCTGCAATGGAGGTTGGGTTGGGGTGAGTACCAGGGGCAGATGCACTGATTCCAGGAGTGGGCTGGTCTTAAGGCCACAGTGTCATTAACGCTTCTGCTGCCACTTGGCTTGTGCCTCTCTCCCAGCTGCACATTGATACTCACAGTTGTTAAAGCACGCTCCTTCATGCTGTGTGGTCTTTATCACTGACGTTCCCTCCTTGAGCACTAGTTCCTTGTGGTTGGTTCCTATTCCTCTTAATATCTCTGCTGGTATGTTATTCCTAAGAAGACAACCCTGACCACTCTGTTCAAATGTCCATCACTGTGTCTACTTCTGTGGCAGCAATTACTACCAACTAGATTTACCTTGCTTATTTACAGTCATCACCCACACAGGCAGAGACTGAATCTGTGTAATTCACCACTGTCTCCCCCGTACCTTGCACATGCAGGTGCTCAGTAAATAACTAAATGGATGTTCCCTTAGCTACAAGAAGGGGGGTGTGGCCTCTGGGATGAAGCACGTGGAGACCAACACCTATGATGTGAAGCGGCTGTTACACGTGAAGGGGAAGAGAAACATAAGGGCCACTGAGGTAAGTCCTGCCCACTCCTTGTTTTGGGCTCAGGGCCTCTATCTGGTACCTAAGAATTCCTCCTGAATAATTTCGACCTCCAGGTGGAAATGAGCTGGGACAGTTTTAACCAAGGTGATGTCTTCTTGCTGGACCTCGGGAAGGTTATCATCCAATGGAATGGCCCAGAGAGCAACAGTGGGGAGCGCCTAAAGGTACAGCTCTTTCCAGCCTTCCCGCTCTCTCCTCTCCCTCAGGCCTGGCCGTAGGTCTTGGCTCTCTCAGGTGCCTTTGCCTTCTTCCTTCCTGGCTGGCTTTTCCTTGAAATTCAAGGCAGACCTCTGCCTTGGAGTAGAATCTGTTTGAGAAAGAGGCTGTGTGTGTGAATCTGTGACACGCCCATGGAATCCTTCACAACAGTTTAACTTCTGTCTGGGGTGCGGACTGTTCCTCCCAAAGCCTCAGGCAGAAAGGGGCAGGGGGCAGAGGAGCTGAGTATTTCCATGGGTTTTTTTTGACAGGCTATGCTTCTGGCAAAAGATATTCGGGACAGGGAGCGAGGAGGCCGTGCTGAAATAGGCGTGATCGAGGGAGACAAGGAGGCGGCAACTCCAGAGCTGACGAAGGTCCTTCAGGACACCCTGGGCCGGCGTTCTATTATCAAGCCTGCGGTCCCAGATGAGATCATAGATCAGCAGCAGAAATCAAATATCGTGTTATATCAGTGAGTCACAGAACCTGGCTGCTGGTTGGAAGCTGGGGCAAGGGCAAGGTGTCCCCGAGAACACTAGGCACTTCTGCTTGGCTCCTTATTTTGGGTGCAGGAGTCTGGCTTTCTTTTAGTCTTTTTCAAATGCAGCTTCTAGAAAGAGCTTGGTGTTCTGATTCAAGGAGGCAGCTATCATCTGTTCTTGCCAGCAACCCTTCCTGGTCTCTTGGGGGAAACTCCTCCTTTACTTGGATCTATATATGCACAGGGATGGGATAGTGTTTGGAGAGAGACATAAAAGTCTCCTTTAGAGAACAGAGTCCTTCACATTCCTATCTGCATTCAAGCCACGACTGTCATGGGAAGTCAAACTCTACACAGAAACTCCATACTAAAACAAAGCCAGGAAAATATCAAATGACTACTAAATGCTGTGTAGAAGAGAAGGTACTGCCTAACTTCTCCCTTTTCCAGTGTCTCAGACTCAGCTGGGCAGCTGGAGGTCACAGAGGTAGCAATGAGGCCTCTGGTCCAGGATTTGCTGAACCACGATGTAAGTGGAGCTCGGGTGCGTTTGGCATGGGGCGATCAGACCTGGCTTCAGAGGCAAGCCCTGGGCAGTGTGTGACCGCTTCATCCCTGGCCTCTCCAGGACTGCTATATCCTGGACCATGGTGGATCCAAGGTCTATGTGTGGAAAGGAAGAGGAGCCACAAAGGCTGAGAAACAGATGGCCATGTCTACAGCCCTGGTAGGAGCTACGGATGTGCAGTATTGTCCAAACATTATGTCGGTAACACTTCGGATGTGCTGAGAGAGCGATACTAGGCTTTTGAGCATATGACCGTGCAGGTATATGAATGGACTTTGACATCTGACAAACTGGGATTCAAATCCAGGTTTAATACCACCTCCTGGGGTTGTTTTGAGGATTCAGTAACATTTGGAAAGCCTTCAGAACAGTACCTGGTGGATGTTACTATTATTATTAATTTTAAATATTTTACTTATTTTTAGAGAGAGGGGGAGGGAGAAAGAGAGGGAGAGAAACATCAGTGTGTGAGAGAAGCATCAGTCCGTTTTGCACACCCCCCAACTGGGGACCTGGCCCGCAGCCAGGCTTCTGCCCTGACCAGGAATCAAACCAGTGACCTTTCGGTTTACAGGTCAATGCCCAGTCCACTGAGCCACACCACTCAGGGTGGTTGATGTTATTATTGAAGGGGATAGATACAACTTATCAAGGTTAATGGCCCTGTCCTGAAGGAGCTTATGATATTGTGCAGACCCATGCAGATGAACCCAGCAGGATGCACTTAAAAAAGCAATAAATGGACAAATGAATGTGTACAAAGTCAGTAGAATACATGAATGTTGAAAGAACAAAGTACAAAGGATCATGCAAAAAAATTAATAATAATCATGGCAGGTCAATAAAAAGAAAAGGTTCAGTTCAGTCCTTTCCTTGAGTCAGGCAAGTTTGTCCCTACACAGAAGTGAGTTAGAATTTGACTCAGTCCCAGAAGGGAGCAAGGGAGCAATTCTACCAACTGGCTTCAAAGCCGTGAATCGCCAACCCAGCAAAGAATTCAGTGCATTCCCTGACTGACCTGCCTTTCGGGGGTTGGGGGGTTGTGTACAGAACTTCATCAAGATGAAGGGCTACTCCAGCAGCACCAATGTGGAGACCGTCAATGATGGTGCTGAATCAGCCATGTTCAAGCAGCTGTTCCAGAAGTGGACAGTGAAGGAGCAGACCACGGGCCTGGGGAAAATATTCAGCGTTGGCAAAATCGGTAAGATTGCCCCAAACTATCTTCTCCCTGCTGGGACTCCAGAAAGTTAGGCTCATCACTCACTTGGCTTCTCCCAACCTCTTCTCAAACAGCTAAAGTTTTCCAGGATAAATTTGATGTGACTCTGTTGCACACCAAACCAGAGGTAGCTGCCCAGGAAAGAATGGTGGATGATGGCAGTGGAAAAATTGAGGTAACGGATGATGCCCACCTCAGGGCTGGCGGGCAGCACTGGCCCTCCTGGCTACCCTGCTATAGAGGAGGGCGCAGGGGATTCTGGGTCTGCTTTGCTTCATCTTCATCTCCAGTGTGTAGGAGTATTCTCCAAGAGGTGTGCTAGTCTGCAGTGTTCCCACAATTCTTCAGGGACGTGAAAGGCAACACCCCAGTAAGCTGTCACTAGCTCAACTGGCAGATCTATTCAAATCATCTCTGAGCTGGAATGGGGAGGCGCCTGCCCGGGGGCAATCCAGTTTTCCTACAGATTCAAATCATGCAAATGGCTAAGCCCTCACCACTGGGAAAGCAGCACCAGCGGGGGTGGGGGACTGAGTGGACAGACCTTACTGCCTCATGTGGGGATTCTCTGCTAAGCACGACCCTGGCCCCATACCCTCAGGCAGCTGTCTCTTCAAATAGGACCCCCATCACTGGGGAATTGTGTCTCCTTTGTGCCCAGGTCTGGAGAATTGAAAACTTGGAGCTGGTCCCCGTGGAGCATCAGTGGTATGGCTTCTTTTATGGGGGAGACTGCTATCTGGTTCTCTATACATACGAGGTTTACGGGAAACCACATTACATCTTGTACATCTGGCAGGTAGGCCTGGGGCAGGCTGGCCTGGGGCAGGCCCTCAGCTTTCAGAGGATGATTCCTCGGCCCCCGAGCTGGGACAGGGGTAGCAGGCCCATCCCTCCTGTCACCACTGCAGGGCCGCCACGCCTCACAGGACGAGCTGGCAGCCTCGGCGTACCAGGCCGTGGAGGTGGATCAGAAGTTTCATGGGGCTCCTGTGCAGGTTCGGGTTACCATGGGGAAGGAACCACGCCACTTCATGGCCATCTTCAAAGGAAAGCTGGTTATTTTTGAGGTGAGAACCGTCAAATAAAGTTACAGAACTAACCAGCCAGCAGGGGCTATAGTAGAGGAGGGGAGGGGTGGGGAGCAGGCCTTGGGGTAACATGGACAAGGGGTTAATCTCTCTAAGACACTAAAGTGAATCCCAACTCCCTAGGACTTCAAGTCCAAACCACAGCCTAATTAATGTTCAAGGTCTCTCATAATTTGACCCATACACCTGTGTAGGTACATTCCTCTCCGCTCCCTAACCTACCCAACTCCACTCATCAGGTGGGTCTCCTCACTAGCTCTCACATCTGCCATATCACTCCCTGTCCGCCTCCCTCACTGAACGTGCCCCTTCAGATTCAAGTCCTACTTCTTCCACGAAGCCCTAGCTGAAGCACTACCAAAAACATACAATGTCACGTGCTTGATATACACAAGTCTGTGGTCAGATCCTAGTCTTGCCATTTATTAGCGAGGTTTCTAAGCCTCAGTTTCCCCATCTGTACTATGGTATAATAACCTTCACAGTTATTTGGAGGATCAATGAAATGATGTACATAGGCACCAACCAGCCACAATGTCTGGCATATAAGGGAGGCCTCAGAACGAAAGCTAACATTATTGGTACCGTAACTCCAGCTCACCCCGACCTCTGCCAGTTAGCCTACAAACTCCTCAAGCACAAAGACAGTGTCAAATACATCCATGTTCTCCACAACAGCTAGCCCAGTGCTCTACTTATGTGGTGCACATTAAATTGAGTCTATGCTGTTCTCCTTCTCTCTAGGGCGGGACTTCCAGGAAGGGAACTGCCGAGCCCGAACCTCCGGTAAGACTCTTCCAGATTCAAGGAAATGACAAATCTAACACCAAAGCCGTGGAAGTTTCAGCCTTTGCCTCCTCCCTAAACTCCAATGACGTCTTCCTGCTGCGGACCCAGGCGGAGCACTACCTGTGGTATGGCAAGGTAGGAGGCTGGGCCCAGTGGCCATGCCAGCCCCGCGCCCACCCTCAGGTCATCAAGGGCAAAGGAACTAAAGAGTAGGCTGGAACAGTCCACAAAAAGAGGAGCCTTTTTTCCAAAAGGATCTTCAAGAGGACTGCCAATGTTCTCTACAATTAGGCCTCCGATTAAAAAGTCAATGACAGCATTGCTCACTCCTACCCGGGAGACACTCCGTAAACTTCTAAATGGACAGGGGCTGAATGAGGCCATCTTTTCACACCAATTTGGTGGGTTATAATAGGGCAAGCATTACCACTGAACAAAAACACTAAAAATGCAATTTTGTCCATTCAGACTGGATTGCATGTAAAAGCACTGAATTGTTTTACAGAAGAAAATTAAACAGGAAAAGATGATCAACATCACAGTCATTAGGGAAATGTAAGTGAAACCCAATGAGATACCTCTACACACTTACTGGAATGGCTGAAAAAATTGACAATATCAAGTGCAAGCGAGGATGCAGAGCAACAGGAACTCTCTCACGTTGCTGGTGGGAATGTAAATATGGCCTTTGAAAAACAATCCGTTTCTCATAAAACATATACTTACCATATGATCCAACAGTCCCACTCCTGGACATTTACCCACATGAAATAAAAAACTGTCTTCACACAAAAACCCAAACACGAATGTTTATAGAACATAGCACTTTTATTCACAATTACCAAAAACTGGAAGCAACTCAACTAGAGAACAGATAAATAAAGTGTTACATCCATACAGTGGAACACTACTCAGCAACACAAAGAATAATCTGTTGATAGTCACAACTGCCAGGGTGATACTAAGTGGAAGAAGCCAGAGTCAGAGGCTACACAATATATGATTCCATTATGACCTTTGGGAAAAGGCAAAACTACTGTGATGGAGAACAGAGTAGTGGTTGCCAGAGGCTAAGGATTTGGAAGGGCTTGATACAAAGGGGTAGCCTTGGTGAATTTTTTGCAGGGCCCAGGCAACTGTTCTGATTCTTTGTGGTGGTGGTAACATGATTCTATGTCAAGACTCATAGAACTGTATGCCAAAAAGGACACATTTTCTTGTACATAAAAAATAAGTTTACGTTTTTCTCTTTAAAAAACAAAAAGTAAAAGCAGGTGCTAAAATTTTAACCGCAACCAAAACAAGGTGACTCTTGTCAACATCCATTGGGGGTTCCAGAGCCCACTTCCGTTCTTTGCACCACACTGTGTTGTCCTCCCCCCACCCCAAGCCCTTCCCAGCACTGGAACAAAACCTATTTCCCTCCCTGAAAGTCCTGTGGCTTGGCAGCTGATCCTGGCTATATTAAGCTATTAGTCACAGAAGCTTTTTTCCTACATTAACATCGTCGTGTGCAACTACGTTCTATGTTCTCATCCTACTCTTAGGGGTCTAGTGGGGATGAGCGGGCAATGGCTAAGGAACTGGCCGGGCTTCTTTGTAATGGCACTGAAGATGCTGTGGCTGAGGGCCAGGAGCCCCCCGAGTTCTGGGACCTGCTGGGAGGGAAAACTCCCTATGCCAGTAACAAAAGGTATGGGACCACAGTATCCTCTCCTCCTGGCTCCCCCTGCCTTCCAGGCTTGTGAACAGCACATGATTTCTAAGCAGCTCAGTTCCACTAAATGGACTGTATTGCAGGCTACAGCAGGAAATCCTAGATGTCCAGTCCCGTCTCTTTGAATGTTCCAATAAGACTGGCCGGTTCACTGTCACTGAGATCACAGACTTCACCCAGGATGACCTGAACCCTGACGATGTGATGCTCCTGGATACCTGGGACCAGGTAACACACAGCCAAGTGCTTGGAACAAATGACAAAGATCCTCACAATTTTGATTATTTTTACGTAGTAACTCCCCTGCCGAGATAAACCCAGGGAAATCCTGGACCATCCCCAAGTCAATCAAATGAAAAAGACTGCTTTTTGCCAACGTTGGAGAGAACAGAATGTTATTTAAAACTTACCATCCTGGGAATTTTCCCACCTTGCCGTGGGAAAATCAGGTCATCCTATCATCAGGCACTTCTTTTTCTCAGAATCAATAGCAGCAGACTCCACACTCAGAAATATGGGCCTTTTAGGTACATAGGGGTAAAAAAAGGGATATCTTCAAGCAACCCCTCATGACATACATCTTCTTCAATTCAGCTCAGCAAACATATTCAGCACCTCCTCTGTTCTAGTCGCTGTGCTAGGCATGGTGTTGCCAAGGCAAAGAGTGCCATCCTGCTTTGAGACTTTACAGGTCAGAGGGAGGGGAAACATAGAAGCATCACTTTGTTGTGATGGAGGTACATACAAAGGTGCCAAGGGAGCACAGTTTGGCGGTTCAGGGATGACTTCCTGAAGAAGACAGCTCCGAGGCTGACTCTCAAAGTATAAGTAGGCACTAATCAGGTAAAGGGGGCATTCCAGGCAAAGGAAATAGCAAATCACGAAATAATCTAGTATACAGAGAACTACAAATAATATTATCCGAACACAAGATAGAGTTAAAGAGCACCCTAGAGATGGGCTGAAGAAGTAGGCACGGAGCTTGCCTATCATGCAAAGAATTTTGAGATTTATCGTGAGAAGCTACTGAAATTTAAGCAGGGGAGTGACAAGGTCAGACTGTGCTTTATATAAAGGCTTCCAGCAAGTGTAGGAGAGGAGAGATGGGCATGAGAACAAAAGAGGACACTGCGGGGAAGCCAGTCAGTAGGCTGCTGTAAAAGTCCAGCAAGAGCTGCTGCAGGCCTGCATAGGAGCAGTGGAGTAGGGATGGAGGGGTGGTGACAGATCTGACAAATGCCCAGGGGGCAGACTGGACAGCCGTGGCAACTCACTGGATATGGGGGTCATCTAGGATGACTCCCAAGGTACTGCCTCAGACATGACTGAGTGGACACGATCCACGAAGAATGAAGACACAGACATAAGTTTAGAAAAGAAGAGCTACATTTTGAGGATGTTAATATATCTGAATTGCTTGAACAGCCAAGAGGAGGTGCTTTGCAAGAAGCTGGATTCAGGAAGTTGAGGTTCAGAGAAAGAGCTCAGAACTGAAGATGTAGATGTGGGAGATACACATGCCAAGTAAAACCACAAATCAAGCCCTGGCTGGTGTGACTTAGTGGATTGAGCACTGGCCTGCAAACCAAAGGGTCGCTGGTTCAATTCCCAGTGTAGGACACATGCCTGGGTTGCAGGCCAGATCTCCAGCAAAGCGTGCACAAAATGCAACCACACATTGATGTTTCCTTCTCTTTCTCCCTCTCTTCCCCTTTCTAAAAATAAATAAATAAAATCTTTTTTTTTAATTAAAAATTAAAACCACAAATCAAGATGATTCTGAGAAAAGCTTTCTCTGCTGAGTCTGTGTGAATTGCTGAGGGGTAAAAGAGTGTTTATTGTCTGGTACGTAGTCCTTGTTATGAGCACATTAACAAATATTCAATCTCAACCACAACAGGTGTTCTTGTGGATTGGGGCTGAGGCCAATGCCACAGAGAAGGAGAGAGCTCTTGCCACGGCCCAGGAGTACCTGCACACTCACCCCAGTGGCCGAGACCCTGAGACGCCAATCCTGATCATTAAACAGGGGTTTGAGCCTCCTACCTTCACAGGCTGGTTCTTGGCCTGGGACTCTCACCTCTGGAGTGTAAGAACAGAGAGAATAGGGAAGACGTTCCTACTGTGAGGGAGCTCAGTGGGAAGGTGGGGTGCTCAAGGACTGAGTAACTCCCAGTCGGCATTTCCTTTACTCCCTGTCCCCTCCTGGCTTTTTATTTCCCGCCCCCTATCCCACCCCACAGCACTAAGTCCAGTTACAGAAGTCACAGCGTGTTTCAGGAATCAGCCGCCTGTACAAGTAACGTTTAGAACACATCTTTTGAACCTTCACAACCATCCTGACAGCTAGAGTAAACATTGTGTCCCATGTTACAGATGAGGAAGCTTAGCGAAGTTATTTGTCTAAACTCACAATTAAGCAGATTTTCTGACTCCTACTCAACTGCTCTGCCTTAAGACTTGTATGGAGCATTGAGGGACCACCAGCAAAGCATATTATGTTTATGTACTTTCCAATCCTGCATGGGCCCAGAAGGGGAGATTCTCCTTTTTGCTTATCCTTGAAATGCCTTCTGATTCCCTGGAATTTTTGCTTCTTTCAAGGGTACAGAGTAGGCCTGAGATGGCATATGTAGCACCTCATCTTATGTTTTCTATCTCTTCTTTTCAGGCAGGGAAATCATATGAACAGCTAAAAGAAGAGCTGGGAGACGCTGCTGCTGTCATAAGAATCACTGCTGTGAGTTTCTTGGAGGAGCAAGTCCCACATGCAACTGGAGCCAGAGAGAAAAAGCAAATGCTACAGATGAGACATGGGTGAAACCCTATCATGTTCTTCTTAGTGTCACTCTAGTGGTCTATTCTGATACAAAGGTTGTTTTAATCAGTTGAAAAGCAGGTCTCAGAACCCAGTTCCTTATTTTACTGCCCTCCAGATTTCAGAACAGACTTAAAAAACAAAAAACAACAACTAATTTTACTATTCAACTCTCTGTCATTCAGGACAGATTCAACTTACTGGCAGCATTTTTCAGAAGTAATATGTTTCTAACCCAAATGATATGTTTATCAGTTTCTGACAGTGGGATCCAGAGAAATTCAGGTCATTACCTTTATTTTCTTAAGATTTTATTTATTTTTAGAGAGGGGAAGGGAGGCAGAAAGGGAAACATTGATGCGTGGTTGCTCTCGCACACCCCCTACTGGGGGACCTAGCAGGCAACCCAGAAATGTGCCATGACTGGGAATCATATGAGCCACACCATATGATTCTTGGCACCAACTGGCACCCACTGAGCCACACCAGCCAAGGCACATTACCCGTTTCAATGGCTACAAGAAGTGGAACCACTGGCCAGGAATTCAACTCCAATTTAACATTAGGATGAGTGTATGGCACCAGCTGTCCAAACCGAGCAGCAATTTTGTCCTTTGTGCTCTACAAACTCAAGATCCCAAAGCTAATGGTGATGAAGCATCTTTAAAATGTACTGAAAAAAAGTATGACTTCAATTTAAAAGTCATGCAAAGGCTGAAAATGTAGAGCCTAACTAAAGTGCCAAGAGAAGGGATTTGACCACAGTATTTAAATGAGATTTAAGCACAGCATTTATGCCAAGCTGGCTGTACAGGATTTACTTTAGACTTAGTCATCTTTCCCAAGAACTGCAAAATCTGAGTATTTTAGATTCCCAGATGACTGACATGCAGCCCGGTTTGGGGACAAATATTCTAAAAGATAATTGCAAAAGGTAACGTGGTATAAACCAAAATCTTAGTATTATATACACAGAACTTCAAATGCACAGACCTGAACAGTTTTTTATCCTGTGTCTACATTTTTATCTCATCTTACCTAGGACATGAGGAATACAACTCTGTCCCTGGATTCTGAGATAAAATATTACCCTATAGAAGTTCTATTGAAAAATCAAAACCAAGAATTGCCTGAGGATGTGGACCCTGCCAAAAAGGAAGTGAGTAGCTGAAGAAATGTGTCTGATGTAAGTGGAACTCTCCATGAGTAAGCACCTGTCTCAATATACAGACTAGGACAGTTCTGGAACATTGTAAGCACTCAACAGACATTTGAGCTACCCAGCAGCTCAAGCCAAAAACTGAGGGCTCCTTCTTGTTACTTTCTTCTCACCTCTTACATCAACCCATCGGCCAGCTCCTGTCCACTCTTCATCTCTCTGCTGCCAGGCTGGTCCAGCCGTCACGATCTGCTGCAGTAGTCATCCAGCTGGATGCCACACCCTCTCTACAATGTTTTCCCCACATAACAACCAATGGGGTTTTAATATAGATGACGCTGTTCTATTTAAAGCACTTTGAATGGCTTCCTACTGCCCTAGAAAAGAATACAAAGTCCTTTCCATGGCCTCTGAGGCCCTACCCAGTCTGACACCTACCCCCCACCGCCCCGAGTTCATCTCACACACCACTGCCCTCTTCGCTTAGCCCCCTTCTGCCAGTGGCTGCTTTTCCTCAAACATGCTCATGCCAGGTTTTGAGCCTTGACACTTCCTATTGCTCCTGCCTGAAAAAAACATAAAGGAGCCAACTCCTTCCCATTTAGGTCTCAGCTCCAAGGTCACCTTCCCAGGAAGGACTTCTCTGACTGCCCTACCTAACACTGCTTCCCTCACCCCCTCCTTTTATACTTGTTCATCATCTGTCTTTTCCCTCTAGTAATATCCTTGAGAGCATGGACTTTGTCTTGTTCACCATCATATTCTCAGCTTTTTACCTCCTGGCAGATAGTAGGCACTTCTTAAGTTTTGGTTGAATGCATTAACGTATTCATGTTGAATGAATGAATGGGTTCTCCCATTGAAGGATTTGATTTGGGAAGGGTCTTTAGATCTTCCACAATGTCTCATCTAACCAACTCTTGAGTACTGGACTACAACTTTCTTAAAAACAGCGGTCATATCTTAATAATTTTACTTGGATAGAAAATATTGATTAAACATCAATAAATGAATGGTAGGAGAATTTTATGCTCTCAATAAGATCTTCTATTTGAAAATATCTGGATAAAAGTGGTAGATAAGGGCATAAAGCAAGGAAAACCATCACTCAATTTAGTTCTCCATTTAGCCAAAACCTAATATCTAGAATTCATATATAATATATATTCCATTTCTTGTCCTTCTGGCAAGAAACTGGTGCCAGGTGAAGCTGTGAGAGCAGTGAATCCAGGCAGTTCTTTCACGGGCCAAGATGGGACCCTACAACCTGAAGAACTCTCCAATGAATAATTTAAGTCCATTACAGACTTTCTGAACATTCGTTCTGCTTCCTCCTTCAAAGACCCACCCCTCTTAGCCCCCCCTCCCAAACTCTGTTGGCAGTGATAGATGCCATGTCTTCCTTCTAACTGGAAACTTTGTTTTCTCTTAGAATTACCTCTCTGAACAGGACTTTGTTTCTGTGTTTGGCATCACACGAAAGCAATTTGCTGCTCTGGCTGGCTGGAAACAGCTCCAAATGAAGAAAGAAAAGGGGCTTTTCTAAGGCAAGAAAGCATACACCTATTGCAAGACCACAAAAGCAAGCAGAGAGTGCCAATAGTGGGAAAGAATTTATCTACCAATTGTTGCCTAACATTCAGCTACTTAGATAAATAGTGTCTGAAATCACAGCATGTTCTCCATTTTTCTCATCCCTGCATTCCTTACTTTTTATATACCTAAAATGTTAAATATCCACTTTTTTATTTTTGTGGCCTTCTGACTATAAAGCCTCAGCAGAAAACACTAAAACTACATCAATTTGAAGAAGTCAAAATTAAGAGGATGAAAAAGAAAAAGAAATTTTACATATCCTCAGGTGAAGATTAAAAAGAAACCCACTAAGTGTAAAGTGTTTAATATTAAGGCAAAAAGCTAAGTTTTCAATTTGAAAGAATGGTATTTCCAAAACCTATGTAACCTATAAATCATTGAAGTGAATCACATGTATACCCCAGAGCCAAAATCCAAATGCCCAGATCTGAATGTGTTCAGAGCTTTTTAACTCTCCCAATAAAGATACCTGTATGAGCAAAAGGGAGTCCTTTTCAGTATCATAGGTTTGCCTATTATAGTAATTATTTGACGTGTTGTTGGAAGGAATGTCTCAGTAGAAAGTAAACAGGCACTACTGAGTGAGCTCTCTGGATAACTGAACCACTGTAATTCCTATTTCTGGCACAACAATGCTAAAGTCTGCTTCACATCTGTCCAGTAAACCTCAGTCCCCACCCACCCACACCCCATTATCCAAAAGAGAAATAGGGTCATGTGTTGTTAATTTCAGTAATGAGGCCAGAACCAGTGTGTATACCACCACAGAGAGCCTTCAAAGCACACTGCAGACATCAACAAATGAACCACATTTTCCAAACAACTGTAAGTCAACAATTCCAAAAGAATCCATGTGGCAGGAGTAATGTAGCTGGGATGTTCCAGGATAGAAGTACAGTCTAAAACATCACAAGAGAGTTCCATGTCATAGAAGACAGAATGAGTCAAAATTGTTAGGGATGTCATAATAAATCTATGTGGAAGGGAGCATGTTGATGCCTGTTTTCCCAGACACTGTCAGACACTTCAATAAGGCCCACCTGTTGTTTTCTAAAATTTGTCACAAGCAAGACACAAAAAGGCTAAACCCAGCATTATGCAAACAAGGAAAAGATTCTATTCTCTTTATTATACAACAATTTTATTTCATAACTTTACCCATTAAGTATAATTTCATTATAAACTCAAATGAAAAACAAATCTTGGGTATGAAGAGACTTAGGAAATAACTTCTTTTTTAACAATGTTCAGAACTAAGAAGAAACATTTCTTCCTGGGCCAAAAGTCTCTGGAACTTACTCAGCCTCTGCTGCCTCCTCCCCTTCTCCACATTCAAACCGCACGAAGTCTACTACAGACACTCCCTGGGGCTGCACGTACTGTCCCAATGTGATAGAGGGATCCAGCAAGTATGGCTGGGACAGCATCTTGGTTTCTGCCTCTCCTCCAGGCTCATCGTCCAGGGAGCCAACAGAGAGAGGGGCCATGCCTACCACATGCTGCCCAAGGCGGCGGCCAAGGTCTTCAAGGTTTGCCTTGCACTCAGACGTCTCGCAGATGACCAGGGCTCCGTACTTCCCCAGTGCCAGGTTGTGGAGTGAAGGACTGTGCATTGTTCCATGGACGTAAGAGCCCACATAGAACCCAGGTGGCACCTTCACCCATGCAGCTCGTTTAAGAATCATGTTTTCTCCCAGTTTCCCTATTAAAAAAAAAACAACACACACACTTCCAAAATATGATGCCTGTGGTAGTACCAAAATACACACAGAGGTGGCCAAGTTTGGGAGAGTCCTCTGCATTTCCACTGTGGATATGCTGTAAGATGGAGATACCATGTTCAGTTTAAAGAGGAAAAGGTGTGTGCAAGGAGCGGGTTGGGACATGGAGGACTTTTATGGAGCACCAACTATGTGCCTGGCATGTTCCATTTAACATCATAGACTATAATGTCACACAGACCCTGGACTCCGGTCTGCGTCTTACCAGCTGTATGACCTTAGGTAAGTGACTTAATGACACAGTCTAATTTAGTAATTTATTAAACCTTAGTGTCTTCATCTGTAAAATGGAAATGAAACCACTTATAATAACCTGGAAGCACAATTATTCGGAAAAATAAACAATATATATATAAAAGCACATTACAGTATTTGGCACATAGTGAGCACTCAAATGCTGGCTATTTTTATTAAAGTTAGGCTTAGACAGCTTAAGTAACCTACCAGTACAAGGTTACATAGCTAATACATGGCATAGCTGGAATTAAAATTCAGATCTCACTCCAAAGCAATTAAGTATTTTTTTCCCCACCAAATCACCATCCCTCCCAGATGCCGCCATAACTGACACAGACAACTCCTGATCATCCGTTGTATCAGGGAAAAGTCCACAACTGAAAACCCCAGAAAATCCAAAACCCTGTGTCATCTGATAGTTTCAACTTCCTCTCATTTAAAAAAAATTTAACATTTTCAGATGTGCTGATGAGAACCAAAAATGGATTTGTTTTCCCCTCAGGATGCTCTACCCTCTAAAAGAAGTTGAAATAAGCCAAAAGGCTGGAAGGTGCAGAAGAATAAACAAAGGGGTCTGGATAAATATCCCTGAATTAGCCATAATTTATATCTAGAAATCATAAAAGGGGAGAATCCAGAAACCAGAATCTTACAACAGCTCCAAGCACCTACTCAATAGTTAATTCCCAGAAACTGACAAGGCTGAAACATCCAGTTCTTCCAAAATTTCTTAATAAGTCCCATACACGGCTGTCTGCCTGGTTTCCCATCTCTGACTCACTGAAACATTATACATCAAGAAGACTTGATAAAAATTGATGCCTTGACTGGAAATATCAGATGAGCAATAAGTTCCCAGCAATCTCAAACCCCAGCCTTACTTCCCTCCCTCCATCAAGCACACTTAGGAAGAAGGCAAAATCTCCACTAGTCCCACCACAATGATCGAGATACAGTTCCCACAGTGAGCGGGTTCTCATGAACTGTACCTTCACAAGTTCAGGATCAGACTTATTTTTTAAAAAGACCAAACTCCTAAAAACAATGCCCCTAAATCTTCCTGAGGCCCTTTATAAAGAATGTGAAATGACCTTTGATATACTATTTCCCTAATAGTGTATAGAGAAGTAGTCATCTAGAAGTCACAAGGCATCTCTGCCTAGACATGTTTTGTTTGGTCAGCCCAGTGATGCATGCCAAGCGTGGAAATAATTTTTAATTAGTGGCAAACAGCTAAAACCTGAGATGTTTGTATACAAATCTAAATTCTTTTAAAGAAACCTTAAAATTCTGACAACACTGGAACCCCATTTTCCCCCAGGGTAACAACTAGCTAGAACTTGGTAATGGTTCCCATTAGAAGAGCGTGAGCTTTTCAGGGTCCTACTGCTCCCTAACATCTAACACACAACCCACTCAGCACATTCATATTGTCTGACCATTTTAGGCACATGAGTTTGCGATTCTTGATCTAGATTTGGAGGAATACAAAGACACAGAGATCCAGTTCTTAACTTCCAGTTTCCAGAATCCTTACAAATACTCACCAATTGCTAATGCCAGCTGATCCTTGAGAGAGCCTTCCCTCTCAGGCCCAGTGGGGAGTTCGGAGAGCTCAGAGGAATTCAAGAAACCCTAAGTGCACACACACACACACAAATTACACACAATCAGTTTGGTACTACTCCAATTATCAAAAAACTAGGCAAATACAGCCTATCTCTCAGAAAATGATTTAAGACAACTAAGTATAGATGACATTTTCTTTAAATCAAGGACTTTAAAAATTGATGACAGGACATTTCAGAGACAGCTTATGGGACCAAAACCAGGAGCTCTTAATGCTGTGACCTAAGACTGAAGTTCTCCATCAGATGTAATAGATACTCAATAGTGCTATGTTTTCCTGAGGACGTAATAAAATTAAAAAAAAAAAAAAAAAAAAGATAACAGTTTCATTTTTGCAAATATTTTATTCTATCACTATACCACCCCCTATCATCTGCCCTAACTTCTTAAAATGTAGTTTCCTAGAAATCAGGAATAATATTTGCATTACCAATCATAAAATTGGAAAGCAAAAGGTTTGCAGACAGTTGGACTGCATAATGGTACAATCCAAAGGAGGGGAACTGGACAATAGCTCACAAAACTACATATATTTTTATCCTTTGACCCTGCAATCCTATTTCTAGGAACTTACCCTGACAATACACTTCTAACAATATGAACATATATATGTACAACGTTACTCAATGATTTCTAATAGTAAAATATTGGAAACAGCCTAAATGCCTAAACATGACAGAAGACTGGCTGAATAAACCATAGCACAGCCATACAATGGTTTACTATGCAGCTGAAAAAAGAAAAAAAAAAAAAAAGGAGCTGCTATGGAGTATTTCCAGGCTGTATTAAGTGAAAAAAGCAAATTAAAAGAGCATGTAAAAATTATACCACCATTTTGTAAAAGGTATTTGTATAAATATGCTTATTTTTGTGAAAAGACAAAGGATAACAAGAAACCAATAAAGTTGGTTATCTACAGGAGTGGATAGGAAACAGGGTAGAAGGGAAAGAAGAGGGAGTAAAGGCATCTGTATGTGTGTATATTATTATAGTTCTAACTTTCAGAACCTTGTTAATGTGTTACACATTCAAAGATTAAATTAACACAAATTATATTAACAGAGGAAGGAAAACAAACTAATCCAAGGAACTTTCAATATGGTCCTTTGACCTCATTACTTCAATGTAAAGACAGAAAGAACACCGAAGAGCCCTGACTGGTGTGGCTCAGTGGGCTGGGCATCACTCTGCAGAGTGAAAGGTCAAGGTTTGATTCCCCGTCAAGGTGCACACCTGGGTTGTGGGCCTGGTTCCCAGTCGAGGCACTTGCAAGAGGCAGCGAATTAATGTTTCTTTCTCATAT